CCATTAAAATATTTTGCCATACGCTCATTGAACTGCCTCACGGTGCTGGGTATGGTGTGATGCCCACCCGCCGTAGTAATCTGCAGCCCAACCAGCGTCTTCGGATTTGAGTTCAAAAAGAAAAAGGCGTCCACCAGCGGAAAGTTTTGGACCTTCGGTTTGTACAACACCCGATACTCTATATTAATCTTACTAACAAGCTGGCTCAGGCACCGTAAAAGACAGGGCTTGAGGGGGCGCTCATGTGGATACAATTCCAGCGCACAGATATGTGGCGGAGCATTTTTTTTTATTTTCAGCTCCTTGAGTTTCGGTATTATTGTATTTACAAAGCCCTCGCTCAAAAATGTAAACACGGAATACTTTTCAAGGGTTTTTGATAAGAGGTCGTCCTTGATGGCCAATATGAGTAAAATAAAATCATTCGGCGCCATTAACTCCGCCAACTTGCATGTCACTAAATTTCCGAGATAGGAAGATACCAGTGCATTCAAAGGCAATTCGGAATTTTTTCGTCCTCGTAATCGTACGACCCTTACAAGTTTGTGAGAGATGTGGTTATCATCACACACTTCATTAGTCCCCAAAATAGAGTAATATTTGGTATCAAAAAGTTTCATTTTTTTAACTGTACTTTCGCACGAGTCAATCCGATCATTGTATTCGCTGTCATCAAAGATGTAGCGAAGAAGTGGTCCCACTTTATCCATGCGATCCTTCACCTTTTTCCAGTAGTCCGCTTCTTCCTCCGCAAGCTGCCGATTTTGCTCCTTCCAAACGCACATTGCCCTCACATCGTTTTCTTCGGGGCAATTCATTATGATTTGTTTCGCTCGCACCAGCTTCGCCCACGATTCGTAGTTGTTTTTGTTCGGTGATGTCACCACAATCATGCCCCATCCCTCGCAAGGCAAACTAGCAGACGGTTGATGACCCTTCAATGCCACGTCGTAGATAATATACCCTTTCACACCACGCCGAGAGAAGCCGCCCAAAATACTCAGAATACTGGCATCCCTCGTGTACAGTGACACCGTTTTGGCGGTCTTGTCAAACAAAAACGTTCGATCCGCAATAAAATACGCAACCATTTGGAGTTGCTCCGCATCGCAGTGCAGCAGCTGGTAGAGGAGGTACGAACCGGCAGCCATCGACTTCCCGATCTCGGGCGTCCCAATCAACACAAGCGGATCAGGCGAAGTTTTGTTCTTGCAGTGACTGCTGAACCATTCGGTTATATCGTCCTTGACGATCTGCCACACTCGCTCCACCTCACAGTTCACATAGCAGTCATGAATAAATTCATTCAGCCCTTGTCCCCACGTGTACGGCCATCCCCTGTCCGAGGTGAGCACCATCAGCTTGAGACGCTCTGCGCCGGATTGCTCCACACCGTCATCCTTTTCGAGACTCACGCCAACTTTCTTGTACGTCCATGACTGCGGTGGTTCCCCCTCCTTCACTTCCATTCCCGTCCCCTCGCCGCCAGTAACTTCCACCACGTGATGCCAACTCGCATCGTACACAGACTCGTAGCATCCCTCCAGTTTCATCGGCGCACTCATCGTCATTGAGCTCATCAATTCAATGAAGGCTGCATCCAAGAAATGTTTAGTGAGGTTATGAACATTTGCTTTTACCTCCTCTGTAGCTAATGACCACTTCAGTAGATTGTCCACACCTTTCTCGTAAAGCTTGCGTATATCCTCATCGAAGATCACTTCACCCTTTACAGCCCTCT